TGCTTGTACCAGCGTGTACGTGCGTGTACGTGCGTGTACGTGCGTGTACGTGCGTGTACGTGCGTGTACGTGCGTGTACGTGCGTGTATCTGCGTGTACGTGCGTGTACCCGCGTGTACGTGCGTGTACCCCCTCTGTGCGTGCCTGCCTGAGCAGCCATTGTTTACAAAATTGCCTAGCAATTAGCCTCGTTTTCGTGCGATGACCCCAGGTCATAAATAATATTTAAGACTGGTCTATAAGCGAGTTCGTAGTTAGCCGTGTACGTGCACACGCCGTACGCACTTGTACGTGCACACGCACGCACGCAGGTGTACGTGCACACGCACTACTCAACTAATAAAACAGGGGGTGCTGCACCCCCGGCTAGTAAACGGCACTAATGCGTAACGCGTAATGCGTAATGCGTAACGCGTAACGTAATACGTAATGCGTAATGCGTACGTAATGCGTAACGCGTAACGCTATGGGTTAGGGTTAGGCCCGTTAGGGTTAGGGTTAGCGACGTGGACATTCGTCTGAGCATCGTTGCGCATCACTACGATAGGTTAAACACCATAGATCAATTTGGGTACTATGACACGCGTATACTGATAAGATAGCCGAGTCGGTTTAGAGTTAGTATTACAGTTAGGGTTGGGTTACTGTTTGTACTTGCGTGACTGCTTGCGTCTACTTACGTACAAACAGTGCGTTGACTGTTTGTACTTGTGTGTATATTTTTCTCGGACGAATATCCACGTCCTTAGGGTTAGGGTCACAAGGCACCATAAAACAGCGTTACGCATTAGTGGTACGGAGAAAATAGACGCAGCTGGGATCCGCAGTCTTGAGCCCGCAGTGAAAGGGTTTTAATAATTAAAATTAGCAAGAGCTGGGATTCGGGCTGAATCCTCCCCCTCCCCCGCACAACAACAGCTTTCAGGCCCGTCGAACCAGTTTCTTTTTCTCTTTATTTTCTTTCTTTTTCTTTCTTTCTTTCTTTCTTTTTTTCCCTTTTTTTAAATCATAGGGGGGCAACCGCCCCCTCCCCTGCCCCCCTCCCGTGACGCCGCGCCTGCCTGTGTGTACACTCTTATACGTACGTCACGTTTCTATTATAATTACAATATGTGTACAGAATATATGTGTTGCAAATACAGAAAATATAATTGAAAAAAATAAAATAAACGTGAATTTGTATGCAAACTGTTGAGAAACTTTTATATAAATAGCGCGCTTTAATCGCAGGATGTAGGAAAATCCGTGTGATGATCTACGGCAGATCTGCATTATATATTGATCGGCATGCATTGCAGGTATGATAAATCATAGCGCAGTTTACTAGCTGGGTTATATTACGATATTGAATTGGCACTGGCTGACGTACGCACACCACTGATCTCTATAATATAATCTATTATCTATTATCTATGATCTATTATCTATCTCTGATTATATTATAGAGATCAGTGACGCACACTGCATGGTGGCGCTGGTCGAAGGAAAAATTCCAACTCGTAGTTTTTTGCACTTTATATTTTCTATTTTGATACTAATTTTCACCTGTTACCTGTGTACCGGTGTAAGTGCTACCTGTTTTCTGTTCCTTTATACTCGTTTCTTCTTATCTTATGCTGACCTGCATGCTATAACCCTGCTATGAATTATAATTATGCAAACATGTATCAGATAAGAGTAGACAAGAGAAACCCCTCTTATCGTATCTCTCCCCCTTCTATCTATCCCCCTGCTGAATGTAACATTATGGCTCGATTTTCGCTGCTTTGCCATTATTCTGCTTTTTACAGAAACGACAAGTTATCTAACGACAATTACGACATGAATTTCTGCATGTTCATCCTTGATACAGAAGCAGAACGACGATGCTACGTGGTGTAACCTGTGTTTCTAGACGCTAGATGGCGGTGCTCTGGCGCATGTTTTAGAGTACCTCCATAAAGTATCATCTTTATGGAGGTACTATAGCACTTTTCACGCTGGAACACTAGCGAAGTTTGCTTAGGAAAAAACGCAACTTGGTTTCCAAAAAAACTTCATGAAAGTTCACTGAAATTCACATAATGAAACTGTGATTTCAGACTGGTTTTTACTTTGCACGCAGCGTCACAAGGTCACTACATTAAACAGATAGTTTTCGTTGAGTGTCTTGCTTGGTCGCTCCATAGATATATATATACAACACATGTGTTGTGTTATATATATATATATATATATATATCTATGGTCGCTCGCGACTTGACCTTGTTGCGAGTTGTAGTAGTACCAGTCTGAGCCTGAGTCAGCGAGTGCTTCCGGCATTAGCCAATGACAGCGTTGGTAAGTCATCCGTGTCGTTGGTGATTGTACGCTGTCGTACGCGCGCACGCATGTTTACGGCGTGACCCTTTGTGAGAAGTGCGTTCAAGAGAACCTGTCAAGTCTATCGTGCGTGGTGCGTTACTGAGTATGTAATATTGGTTTTCTTAAGTTAAAACACATTCTTAAGTTAAACCTCATTTGTTAGCCGTTTTACTGTCACGTCTAATCTAGATACATATCACGTCGCGACCACTCTCTAGACTCTAGAGTGTCACATATGGTAATACTATATTACTAATAATACTAAGGACGTGGATATTCGTCCGAGCATCGGACACCTGTTCGTATGCGCTATTCGTCCGAGCAT